ACACACACAAATAGGCATACACACACATAGACACACAGACAGACAGAGAGGCAGACAGATAGAGAGGCAGACAGATAGAGACAGACACACAGAGAGACACAGACACACACAGGGACAGACAGACAGACTGACAGACAGACAGACAGAGAAAACATAGTGAGAATAGCAGGGTTATAAGGAGATTGAGCAGCTGGGGGACAGATGCCAAGACTGTGAGCTAGAGGGAGTGTAGGGGAGGGGAGGAGGTGAGAAGGGCTAGGACCAGCAAGGACTTTGAAATGTGTACTTGGTACTTGGGAGCCTAGAGGCCAGACTGAGCTTTGATGTGCTAATAGGCACCACAGGTAGCCATGTGTCCGGTCTGCCAGAGGTAAGGGAAATGACTCCTTTTGGTAGATGGGAATCAGTTTCACAAGTTTCTAAGGAATGCTGGCTTTTATCTAACTGCCAGAAATCCTCCTAAAGTCCAGGTTGAGCTCGCCGGACTGCCTTTTGGAGTCTGGGGAACTGGAGTTTCCTCTGGACCTGATGCTCAGATCCTTGGCAAGAGCAGGTTGTACTCCCAACCACTGAGCGATTTCTCCAGCCCCCGTTTTTTATTCCCTATGTAGATATGTGTTTGCTGTAGTAATTCCCTGGTGACGCCTTGCTAAACCTCTGCCCCTAGCTGTATATTTCTTGCTCTTCTCTCTCTTCTTCTCCTCCCCTTTCTTTTCCACAGTCTCGCTACATAACCCAGGCTGACTCGAATTCACATATTACTCACACTGGTCTTGGACTCACAATCCTCTTGCTTCATTTCAGCCTTGTGAGACCTAGGATTGAAGGTATATGTCGCCATTTCTGGTTGCCCCCTTTTAGAGAAGGTGGCTTATTAAGCTAGAGCCATACCATCAGTGGATACATTTAAAGCAGGACCCGGTAGTTTTCAGTGTATCCCTAACAGACACAAAACAGATCCTGCGTGGCAGTCGACCTTTCCTTTCCACAGCCGATGCCTGAGACGGTTGGTTTGCAATGAGAAAGACTTAATTTAGCTCACAGCTTCATGTTGCTTATGGGTCTTTGGTGGAGCATCCCGGTAGGAATGCCTGAAGGAGAAAAGTCGAAAGAGAGAGAGAGAGAGAGAGAGAGAGAGAGAGAGAGAGAGAGAGAGAGACATGCGCATAGAAACATCTCACTAGGCTCCACCTCCTAATGGCTCTACCACCTCTCAACAGAACCAAGCTGGCAAACAAGCCTTTAACACAACAGCCTTTGAAGGACATTGGAGATGTAAACTATAGGACCATACATGACCTCATCTGCTTTCTCTTCTTCACTGATCTTTCTCTTCTCCACTGAAATTCTATCAATCTCGTCGAAAGAGACTCGTGTCTTGGAGAGGCTGCCAGGGGAATGATCTGTTAGGAAATAGTTACCTGCAGTCAGGAGAAAGGAAGTGATTGTAGACCCTGTCATGTACTACCTGTGCCCTGGACTACTCACTGCCCGACCCTACCTGCCCTTGGGGGTTGGAGGTGAGGTGACTCGGAGTCAGTGACACAAACTCCGGAAGCAGAGCAGCAAACTCCTCGGAAAGCTGCTGCAAGCTCCTTTAATGCCCTCCTCCACTCGGGCCCCACTGGTCCTAAGAAAGCCTCTATTCTAAACAGCAGTTCCAATTGGCTGGCATTGTCTGTGTCAGCAATCTTTGGTCTCTCAGGTAGTCCTCAATTAGGTCCTCTTGCAGGAGATGTCTTTGCAGCTGTGGGGCCCCCCGGGCGCCCCCCCCCCCCCCCGTGTTTAGGCATTTATGCAGAAGCTGCAGCACCATTCCCCTACTGCCATGGTGATAAGATGATCAATAGGGCTCGTTTTGTTTTGTTTTGTTTTTGCTTTGTTTGTTTTTTGAGCCAGAGTCTCCCATAGGCTCTTATAGCCCAGACTGCCCTTGTACTCATTAGGTAGCCAGCTTCTGGTCCTCCTGCCTCCACCTCATGAGAGGATGCTAGAATTGCAGACAGACAGTACCCCTCCCAATTTGTATGATGCTGGGATGGAATCTAGGATGTAGTATGTGTTAGGCAGGCACTCTTGTCAGCTGAGCCAAATTCCCAGGCCCTGTGATCGACAGCTTCAAAACCCGTCTCTGCTAGACCCCACCCCATCATTAATAAATAACTACTGTAACCACAGTCAATCACCATCTATGCCCCATTATTATTTACTGTGTGAGGGTCAAAAGCCTTGTAGTTTGATAGAGGTCAAGAACAGTACTAATAATTTTAAAAATATAAAAATAAAAGATAATTTCATGGAGAACAGTTTGTTCTAGAAGCAGGTAGGACTGTTGTGATTAGTCACGCCATTATTTGCTTTATAAAGAGATTTGACCCAGCTCTGGATCATTCGGTAATATGCAGACACCAGATTAAGATGAATTTAAAGTCCACAGTGTGGACCACGCTGACATTCTCAGAGCTGACCAAAGAGATCTGGGGTCCCTGTATCTAGAGCAGCAAGTGACTTCGGTTTGAATCTGTTTTTCAGAACCAAGGGACCTGAGAAGGAGGAGAAGTTGAGGCGGGCAATCAAGCAGGTGCTGAAGTGTGATGTGACCCAGAGCCAGCCTCTGGGTGAGGTGTCTCTGCCTCCTGCTGACTGCCTACTCAGCACGCTGTGCCTGGATGCTGCCTGCCCTGACCTCCCGGCCTATCGTACTGCCCTCAGGAACCTGGGCAGCCTGCTCAAGCCAGGGGGCTTCCTGGTGATGGTGGACGCCCTTAAGAGTAGCTACTACATGATTGGGGAGCAGAGGTTTTCCAGCCTTTCCCTGGGATGGGAGGCTGTTCGGGATGCCGTGGAAGAGGCCGGTTACATCATTGAGCAGTTTGAGGTGATTTCTCAAAATTACTCTTCTACCATATCCAATAGTGAAGGACTCTTCTCCCTAGTGGGGCGAAAGCCAGACAGATCTGAATGACATCCTGCGATCCCAATTAAAAGCTTGCTGGTTCATTTCAGGCTGTATGGCTCTGAACGCAGTGCTCACTGTGTGGTGTGGAAACTGAATGGGCGTGGCTAGGCGGCGTGGTTCAGGGTTGGGTGGGCAGTCATGGATGAGCTCATGGACCATTTCTGTGTGTTCCATGCACATATTAAGGCTACGGAACCCTTAGGGGAGTAACTGAGAAATCTGGTCTCCTCTACCTATACACACAAAAGAAGGCTTCACCACCACAAACATGCAGTTACTGCCACACCTGTGAATCGCACATGAATAAAGCTCACACCTGCCTGCCGAGACGTCAGTTATTCACGATTAACCTCTTGAGGAACAGCTGCGTCCTTCTTTTGCGGTCTTCCTGGAGAGACTGGCACACCCCAGCCTCTGATGCTGATGAATCTGCTCTGGGCTCAGTCGGGATCTAACAGACCCTCTACCCCCACACCAGCACCAGTCTAACTTCTGGGATCCGAGGAGAGCTGATTGGTCTTTCTTCCTATTTATCCCAGTGGTCTGTTGTTTGTTTGTTTGTTTGCTTCCTAAATCCCATCTCATTTTCAAATTCTATCACTCCGTGGATGTCTCTTCTTAGGAAGTTATCTAACCATCCTGTGCCTCAGTTTCCTCACTCACAAAATGAGACTGAAATCGAACTGCTAGCTAAGATGATGGAAGTGGATTACAAGCTAGAAAGCATCCAGTGGGATGCTTGGTACTCACCAGGCATCCGATAAATGGTGATGGTTAGATCATCACTATTGTCACAATCATCATAATCCCATCTTTGCTATCAGTTGTCAAAGCAGCTGAGAAGAGACATTCCCATCTCCATGTAGGAGAGGAGTCCTTCACTGGGCTCTCCACAGATGTGCTTGTCAAGAGCATCCACAAGAAAACAGTTCCCACAGGAAGTGCCACCAGGTCCTTCCTCATCCAGGAGCTATTTGGCAGACATGTATTAACACCCTTCATGAGTTATTCCTGTTCCAGGTCCTGGGCATGTAAATGAAGCCCCAATGTCAGCTGGCTCCAGAGCTCCTGTCTTTGCAGACATAGTGACATGACAGGTGCTCCTAGATGCTACCAAAGACAGTGTTCTCTGCAGTCCCCAGCCAGAGTCCACCTGCTCAGCGTCTCTCTGCTCAGGATGTCCCATCTGACACTTCCGGGGAGGGCCACGTGGAGAAAAGCCATGTTGGCTTCCTGCCCAAGTGGCAGAGACCTTTTTCTGTCTAGGCCAGGGTTGGCCAAGAGCAGATGCTTTCTGGTGTTTTGGATCATACAGTGTTTTCTTATTTGTTTGTTTGTTGAGAGAGGGTCTCACTCTCCTTGAACTCGCAGAGATCCTTCTGCCTCTGCCTCCCAAATGCTGACATGAAAGCCTTGATCAAGGCTACTCAGCCCACAGTGGGAGCAGAGTCAGCTACAGATGACATGGAAATGAAAATGGAAATTCACTCACTGAAATAGGATAGGGAGATTTGGACCAAGGTTTGTGGTTTGTAGATGTTGATCTGGGCTCGAAGCGCCTTGCTTGCAGTTCAAGTCTAATGACATTTCTTACAAACACTGGTTAGCTTATGATACTTGGTCATGACTGTAAGGAAGCTCAAACCCTATACAAGGGTCAGGCCAGAGGACAGGTAGGACATTATTCCTCCTATACTCTGTGCATACTCTTTCTTTCTCTTTATTGCTGTTTCTCTCGATCCAAACTCCTCCGCTTGAAGGCATCCCATAAATACAAACAAAAAATGGGAAAACAGGCAGGACAGGGGGAGTGCCAGTGAAGTGTCCACTACATCAATGTTTTCACGCTGCAAGTTGCCATCCGCTGGAGTGTCATAGAATCAATTGACAGTCACAACGCACATTATAAAAACGACAGAGAACAAACTGGACCAAAAAAAATGCTAATAGCGGAGCAGCATGCAGCAATATTTTATGGGGTTTTGTTTTACAAATCTGCATATCTCTCTGCTCACATACTGACCTGCACTTAGACACAGCTAAGCGAGCACTGTAGGCAGGCTCCACCCAGAGTTAGCTTCCTGACTGTGTAGCCATCTGAAAGATGCTTATTACCTTCCTGTGACTGATGTTTTCGTTTCATTTCTGTTGCTGTGAGAAATTTTTTCTGACAAATAGCAGGTTATGGGGAAAAAAGGAGTTTATTTCAACTTACAGTTCCAGGGTGCAGCCAACCATTGTGGGGAAGTCAAGGCAGAAACTTTGAACAGCTAATAATACCACATCCACCCTCAGGAGCGGAGAGAAACGAATGTGCGCATGCACACCATCCATTACTTGTTGATCAGGTGCACAGCACAATCTCTCCACTTTGTGATAGCTTAGGACTCCCTGCACACACTGGGCTCGGTCTTCCCACACAGACATCTACACAGGCCAAGCCAATGTAGATGATTCTTCACTGAGACTCTCATTCTAGGTGATTCTGGGTTGTGTCAAGTTGCCAGTTAAAGCCAACCATCACAACTTGACGGTTTGCTGCTGGGTTATGATATACCATGCATTTATTACTGACTGTGATCCAAAAAGGTTGACAACCACTTGCCTATACCCTGAGCTTCCGAGACTGGATTATGAGAACTTACATTTTTCTTTCAAAAGGTGTTGCTTCTCCCTCCTAAAGAATGATTAGTGGCTCGGAGAAACCGACACACAAACAAATAAAACACCAGGAATGAGAGAAAGGCTCTCCCAGAGAGGTATTAGTACTGGTGCTTGAGGAGAAGGTGCCAAAAAAACCATAGTGTTAGTCCTGCATCTTGCAGGCCGAATAAGGGTCTGTTTGGCAACTAGGGAGGGATGAGGAGCCTGAGCATAGTGTATACCGATGCATGAAATGACTTCTGCCAGTAGCAGGCCCACCCTTTACAGGCTTGTTCTTTCAGTAAAACCCAGACCTAAACAAACATCTGGCTTCTGTTTTGTTTGGTTTTGCCTTTTCTGAGATCAAATAGACCAACCAAGTCATGTGCAAACACAGACTCAGGGGTCACTCTCGCCCCAACTTGCAAATGTCTTTGACCTCTGACCACGCTCAGGTTTTTTTTTTTTTTTTTCTAGCAGGGTTTCTGAGGGAAGTGTTGAAGAATTTCGCTGTGAGCAAACTTGTATGATGTAGGAGGAGACTGTATGGCTATGCATAATGCCCTAGGGAAGAACAGGGAGAAAGAAAGCTATTAAAGAGATGGTTAGCCCATTTAGTGTTATGCAGCCCAGGCTTGGTAATTCCTATCATCTGGCTGTCAAGAGTAATCAAAGGACATGTTCATGATATGGCTTACCAGGCTCTGCTTTGAAGACTGTGACTGCCTCTCTAATTTTAACCTCCGGCCAACTCAGAGATTCGAGACGACCAGTAAATCATTCTGAGGGGAGAATGTTGGAGATTGAGGACAGAAAATATGATCATCATTAGAGTACCACACCATTCTCATCAGGCTAGAGACTATTCTTGAAAACAAGGGCACTAAGCATCTCTCAGGACTGGATTGAAATCAAATGACATGTCCATAAAGCCATTCTGTAACCTCTTATGCTAGATTAGAAATCTGCAATATAATTAACTCTTTCTAGAACAGCTATTGAAACACAAGTTGCTACATTCATTAAATTTTCTTAATGAACACTTGGAATCTAAGCTTATTTAGTGTTAGGCATTCACTCAGAAGATATTTACCACACTCTCATTACATTCTAAATCTTGTCTCTGGCTTCATGGGCCTTAATCCCTGGGGGAGGGCAGAGGTCATGGAGTCTCACAGCATCTAGAAAGTATGTGTGCTAGTTAGCTTTGTCAAAACAGCCTAGAGTCATCTGAGAAGAAAGCCTATATTGAGGGATTGCTTAGATTAGGTTAGCCTGTGGGCATGTTTTGGGGGATTGTCTTGACTATTAATTGATGTAAAAGGGCTCAGCCCACTGTGGGGAGTACCATTCTCTAGGCATCAATGGTGGTTCTGGGTGGTGAGCATAAAGTACCTTGCAAGCATTCCTCCATGATTTTTGCTTAGGTTTCTGCTCAGACTCCATCAGTGTTGGACTATGACTTGGAAATGTAAGCTAAATTCATCTTTTCTTCCCCTGAGTTGCCTTTGGTCAGAGTGGTTTGTTTTTTTTTTTTAGCTTGTTTGTTTTTGTCTTTCAGCAACAGAATAGAACTAGGACAGTACACTATAATAAACAGATCTTTTGGTGCTCAGGAATCACCAGACTTTTCTGACAGAGTCCATCCAAACAAGATATGCCAGGCTTGTGCATCTTGTGCATAGCCTAGGTCTGTGTGGCTCAACTTTGTTACTAAAACGTGTTCAACTTCTACACTGTATTTTGAATACTATAGCAAAGAGAAAGCTTACCGTGGATGGACTCACGGGCGCATCCTGAATCTCAACTTTTTGGTCCTTCCTCTCATCTTTGCTGGCCAGTTTCACACAGTGGAAGCCCATTGCTTGACCTGGACGAGACCAGCAGAGGGCGCACATGGCTCTTGCTAAAGCCTTTCCAAGCCTGAGACCGTTCATACTAGAAAGAATTTAAATAGAAATGAAACCTTCCAAAACAAGAAACCTATTTCCTTTGGTACAGTCTGCTTATGAGGTTGCTAGGAAAAGGAGAAGAGAGCTCAGCACATTTTTCTTTAACAAAAAACTGTGTGATTACTTTTACACATTTAAAATTTTTTTCCCTTCTGGGTCTATACACAAAATGCAAATTTTAATCATCCATACAGAGGCTCTGGGCCAGTTTAGCATGAGAAATGTTAAATATTAGATTATGTGGTTAACTTACCATCGTCTTCGATTTCCTGTTTATTCAACAAGGAGACAAGAAGTTTTTGTGCTTTTTCAAATCTTTTAATATTAAAAAAAATAAAGACATATTTCAGTAGCTTTGGTTGCTGACTAAAAGGCTAGGGTCCAGATTTTAATTTTAATTTTAGTGGTGTCTGATAAATAAATGGGAAGACTTGGGCTGAATTGCAAACCTTCCACAGATCATTGAGTTAATATTACCTTTGTTCTGACTTAAGTGTTGAAAACCAGAAAATAGTTTTTCTCCTGTTTAGTTACCATTTCTCCCTTTTCAGGGAAAAGGGGCCTTTGGATATTTAATAAACAGGTAGGTTGTTTTTAGCCAAGTGACTTTATACTTTGGAGGGACAGGTATGTAAGCAGAACAACACAGGGAGGAAGACAGATGGTTCTAGAACAAATTGTTGGCTGATTGCTATTTACTGATCAATGAGGAGTCTCTGTACCCCTCAAC